CAGGGAGGTGCCTGCCCCAGGCAGCTGGTCCCCCAGTTCAGCAGTGAAAAGGGATTAATCGCCCAATTCAAAACCAAGAGAGATGCAAGCCTGGGCTCCGAATTGGGAGGTTTAAGCTTTCTCCCAGAATTAGTGACCCAAACAACAGGACCAGGGAGAAAACGTATCATATAGCTTAGTAGCCAGGGCATTTAGCTGGGAAGGAGAAATGCATTTAAGCCCCTGCTCCAGTTAGTGTTCATTTGTAAAAATTGGAACAACTTCAACAAGATGTTAAAAAAAGATTCGTCCTGGATGTCCATGAAGCAGGGCGTCTTCTGGGCTTTGGAGAAGTGAAAATGGCTGCTTCTGTGCTGGTCTGTCTTTCAAACAATGCACCTTGCCTGATCTTTCTTTTAGTTCATGAAAAGAAAAAAAAAAAAACAACCCTTGATTTTTTTCTTTTCTCAACCGTATCAGTGTTACATGTTCTATGTAAAGCGCTACATCTTCGGTTCCTATAAACTCATTGCTGTTGTATAATGCTGGGTACGTCTCCATTTACTTTAAAAACCCTGCAAGTTTGGGAAAAAACTGCAGCCACTCTGCACATTACAGTGAATCAGAACAGATGACGTGGCTTTCCAAACCACCGCGGTAAAACAGAAAACCCAGGAAACATCTTGAACCTTCATCCAGAACACTATTCACAGGTCTCCCTCTTGTCTGGCTTCGGGAAAGATGCAGAAAGGTATTTGCTAGTTGGAGTAACACCACTTATGAGAGACATTTATGAGTAACGCACACTACAACTACCAGAAAGTTTATACAATCTATATAACACAGGAAAAAACATCTGGGGTAGCAAGAGCTACGTTCCAGAAATTGCTATCTACGTGCTGGTACGGGGATTCATAACTGAGCAGCACACCCAAACACACGGGGCATCGCTTCTTGTGTGAGGCACACCTACAGCTAGCAGGGGTCAGGCCATGCCTTCCCTTTGGTAATCAAGGCTTTGATAGGAATTAAGAGATGAAAGAGACACCTGCAATATCCACATAGCTCAGAGCTGCCCAGCTCCTGTTTAAAACATGAAGGCTTATACTAAAACGGGGAGGGTGACTGGCACTCAGAGCCAATTATTCGAGCTTTGTTCAATGGTTAAGTCAGAAATGAAATCTGGATTACAGAATTGCTACCCTACGTCATTTGCTGCTTCAGAGGGGAAGAAAAAAATTATGATAACTAATGTATCTCTCTTATTTTTTCAGCCACAAAAGTTTTGGAAAAAAGTTTTCATATCAGAAGTGAAATCTGGACTACAGAATTGCTACCCTACGTCGTTTACTGCTTCAGAGGGGAAGAAAAAAATTACGATAACAACTGACGTATCTCTCATTTTTACCGCCACAAAAGTTTTGGAAAAAAGTTTTCATCCTGCCCAGCTAACAACGTGGTTATCGGGCAGTAAGCTTGAACAGCACTATCCCGCCAGCTGGCAGCAGGAGCACGCAGCCCAGCAGGCCCAGCAGTCACCCGTGGTCAGCTTTGCAAGTAGTAACTCATTCATCCCAACAATACCTTTATGTTTGGTCACAAGTGTTTTCACAAAATGAAGAGATGAGCCTAAACTGACTTGGCAGTGACCTGTGATTTAAGTTCAGCTGCATGAACAGACAAGCTTTTAACCACACAGAGCCAATTAAACCTGGAGCCCCGCTTTGTCTAGCGGAATAAACCAAGCTCCTGGAGACCGGTCTGCAAGTTTTCAGTGCTCCTTGCAGTTTTCTGTGAAGGAACAGCGCTGCTCCAGGTCACCCAGCACTCGCCAGGACAGTAGAAGTATGAGCCTCCTTTATGCTGCTCTGTAACACCAGTCCCATTAAATCTTCCATTACACAAAAGCGTAGCGTCTTTGCGGTACGTTTGATGATTAAGAAAAAACACCAATGTGGGTTTTTTTCGCCACCTCACGTTTCTACACGTGCATTTTGGACGCTTCCTGCCAGGCCAGCTCAGTCACCCACCGCGTCCCAGGGCCGCGGGTCCGCCCCGGCTGCACCCAGCCCGGTGCTGGGAGGGGAAGGGACTTACAGCTGCGCGCCGCATCCATCCGCAGCCAGGTTATCCATGCGCACTTTATCAAAGAAACAGAGATTAGGGGAAGGATTCTGTGTATTCTTGGGGTGTTAATTACCAACACAATAGGATTTTGAAATCAAGAAAGAAAAAAAAAAGCTAAATTCATACATGGGTACAAATTTTAATTGCCTTCTTTATGTTATCTCCCCAATAGGGAGGTTTTCTCCCCTTAGGAGAAAAAATATCATTTAATTCTAACTTTTAAAAAAAAAAAAAAAAAACCAAAACACTTGCTAATGCAATTAACCTTTTGGATGCTTTAAACCCAACCCAGGACAGAATAGCAATGGGAGGTACAAGTTTAAGGAGAGCAGAGGGTTTTTCTGAAATTGCCTTTTCTTCACGCTGTACGGTGGCTGTTTTACACGATCCCTGGGATGACCCACCCACAGCCTGCTTGGCCCCTCACCACCTCCCCAGCAACAGCAGCTCAGATTCAGCTCCAGCGTTACAGGTGCAGAACACCGATGTGAACCATTCCCAAAGAGTTATTCCCAGCGTACAAGACTGTAACTGAGTATTACATCTGCTGTGTTTAAGTATTGATGACTCTCTGTTCAGTCCAAGTCATTAATGGGAGCTGCTCATAGATTTTTAGTTCCCTAACGCACCAGAAGTCAGCCATGGCCGTGTACCTTCTCCAAAATGATCTCTACAGTACAAAAAAAAGAATAGAGAACACATTGCAAAAAACTCCCACTTACTGCATTCTATGAGCAGCTTAACAGCGTTTTAAATTACAGCTACAAGTGTGTGTTGTGTAATGGTACGGGTACTTCCCTCTCCTTTCTCTTCTACACAAATGACTAATAGAAGTTTAAAGCAACTTTATTGGAGCCACGGGAAGACGAACACATATTGGAACAAACAAGTATAACAAAAGACTAAGCTCTTACATCCCTGATTTTGTAACTAATGTGCAGGTAGCTAGATAAAATCGTACACATCTCACCTGAGCAAGTAAAGCAACGTATGGGCTGCTCAGCAGCACTTAGGGCACACGTGCTACCTCCTCTCCTGAGAGCTGAGGCCCATCAGTGACAGTGAGACAACATCGAGACAACACAGCTTCTCTTTGGAGCATGAGATTTCTGGTTCTGTACACAGGATCGAGAGTTTTGCGTGGGAGGTGCCCAAAACCACGCCATCCTGGGCTGCTTAGCTATTTTTATTCTGTTTTGGCAGCAGGTATCCCTCAGCCTAGGAAAAAAACCTCCTGGCCTTACTCCTGAACATAGCAAATCAATGATAAAACCCCGGTAGTACCTGCGCTTCCCCCACTGAATACAGCTGGAATGCAAAACCCAGCCTATTTTACACTTGGCAGCTACCCCTGCTCTCAGCCTGACAGCTTTCACGCTCAAATGTCAACTCTTCCTCCCATCAGAGAGCTCATATATGAGCTGGCTTGTTTCTTTGACATACAAGCTATTTGCTAATCCAGTTACGACTGAGCCAGGCACACAGTCCAGCTCTAGAGGGCTCCCCACCACTAGGCAGTGTGTAGTTCTGTAAAATACCAACCCAGCAGACCTGCCTGAAGCAGCAAGTCCGACGGACACCGTCCCCTCCTGGTGCAGCCTGTTTCTTCCTATTCCCGCCTCCCCTCTCCTGCAAGAGCCCAGCTGCTGAAACAGTACGTGAGAGCCGCCTGTCTCTCCTTGTTACCCACCACAGCCAAAACCAGCCAAATTCTGAATATTTGGATGCCACCGCTCTCTAATCCAGACAGCTCTTTGCAGCGCAGAACCACCCGGCACCCAAGCCCAGGACATCTCAATGACTTAAAGCCTGTAAAGGGTCTGTACAAAACCAGATTTGCTTAAGAGAGCCTCCCCAAATCGTCTGTGACCACTCAACTCAGCTCCTGCACCCCAACTCCCATCCCCCGGGCTCCTTCCACGTCAACTGAATTCTGCTGGTGCCTTTTCACTGACCGCCCCAGCAAGAGGCCTGAACATGACAGCGAAAGGAAATGGGGGAAAACCACGTCCGATCAGAGTTCCAGAAGATCCACAAACCAGAGCTGCAATTACACCTAGGACCAGCTGCAGTACAACTTTCAGCTAATATACACCAAGTCTGTCCTTCAGCTAAGAGTTTATCTCCATACCTATACATTCTGTGCGTCTTTGCACATAATCCTAGAGATTGCATATAGCTGTGTGAGACAGGAACCGCATTCGCGCCTTTTCTTTACATTTCCTCACTACGCTACGTATCTATGTATCAGGGATTTTTGAGTTTTTCACGTGAATTTTTAAGACTCTACTTTCTAAGAGGGGAGAAAACACAACCTTGCCTTATCTTCAGGCCGTTACAGTGTATCAGGAAATCCAGTCACTAGAGCATGACACAGAACCAGCTGCAGAACCAGAGGACTGTTGGAAAAGCACAGCTTAAATTAACTTCTTTATTTCACACGTATTTGCCTATCGGTCTTTCTTACCACGTGAATCAGTCAGCAGTTATGACTTGAAAAGTCACTATTTGAAAAAGCTCTCAGAAATTGTATCATTAACAGGGAATGTTAATAATATAGTTTCGTAATACAATTATTTTCTTGTTTGCACCAAGGTTCTATTCGATTCCAGCATGTGAAGTTTTATAATGCTTGCTGTAAAAATACTTTCCCATATTTATCCTCGGTTTGGAGTCTCACTTATCATGCTTTGAAGCAACTAGAAGCTCTGGCCACTGACAAGCTTTTCTGAAAAAAATCTGAGGAATCTTTACAACTCAGAAGAAACCAAGAGACCCCCCTCTTGTGGTCTTCTATGTAAACAACCTTAACTACGTTTGTGAGTGTCTCAAGAGGAGTTTTCTTTCATCAAATATTAACAGAAATTGTAAGTAATTCCATTCAATATATGAAGTGTTCTTCCTAGAAAGAATGAGAAAGAGATTGTTTTCACTTTATTTTTATCTACATGGTATTTTCTTGCAGAAAAACCACAGAGATTTAAAACGCAGTGCTGTCTCCTGTATACCACCACTCAAAAGAAAGTGGGGGGGGGAAAGTTACAGAACAAAGTAGATGAACAAACCTAACAATGGAGGAGATGTTAGGTTTATATAGATAAGTGCTATCTAGATGAACATATAAACTGCAGTTCTAAAATGCTCACGCTTCAGTTTACACAATGCACATAATGATCTCTACCTTACAGACCAATCTTACTCTTCAAAAACCATAGCGGATATGTAGGAACCCATGCTCACAACTTCCCATGTAATGAGATTAACAAGTCTGACACAAACATAAAAAGAAATTTTGTGCCTTTATTGGAATGGTGTTAGGCTTTAAATACACCAATTTTGATAACCTGATTATTTGGTTTTAATTAGAAATGACACTACAGAACTGCAATACTGGTCCAACAGTCTTGTCTTTACTCTTTTTTTTTTTTTAAAGCAAGAGATAGTATGAAAATGCACCAAGTAATCAGAAAGCACTAGCAGGCATCGGTTAATCCAAGATACTAGCTTTTTAGTTCCAAAAGCACTCGCATCATATGGAACCCAGGATTTAGACTGGTCATGATTTGCAAGAACTAGTTGCATGAGTCATGACTTTTTTTTTTTGTTTAATTTACTTTCAAGTTGGTCACTGGTAAATTTTTTTCCTCAAATATTACAGTTTCTTTAATTCATATTTTTCCTCAAAGTATAAAAAAGTATGAAATATAAACAAGCTCCTGCATCGCACCCGTGACAGGGTACAACGGAAGCATTAGAGAGCTGACTATCTACACACCGTCAAATCCCATCAAATCTTGGATAATTCATTAATATACAAAATATCAGGGCACAGAAAGAACTAAAATCCACTTTTTTGTTTTGTTACGCACAGGTTCAAATAATCAATCTAAAGAAAAAACGTGATCATTTTGGCTTTCCACTACATCCGCATGTTGAGACACTTATTGAAATAATCCTGCTTAATTGCGTTTGGTCTTTTTCTTATTGTCAAGTCATGTTTGTTATCTTAATACCAGCCATCAGACAAACAAGTAATCAGAAAGACTCCTCCTCCCCACCTCCCTGTCCCTGACCCCTCCAAGGTCAGCTTTAAGACATGACTCCAAACACAGGGTTGTGACGACAGATGCTAGGACCAATCTCTTCATAATCTTTTTTGGTATGGCATACTTGGTAGAACTCAGGCTGTAAAGGGAAGGAGAAAAAAAAAGTCAATGGTATGTACACCTTATCTGAACAATATTAACATTTACGTAGCAAATGGAAAAAAACACAAATACAGATAACTTGGAAGTCCTGAAATTAATATTACATCACGCATGGCTAAACACCAACGCAAACAATGTATTTTGCCACAAAACTAAAATGCACTATTTTACAACTCACACAGAGCTGTAATTGGGCTTTCATTTGCTCTTTCAAAGCTTTAAAGTCTAATGCAAAAACTTCGAAGGGGGCAGGGAGGGTACTTTTGCTGCCCGAGGTCTATCAGAAATCCCCCAACTGCATTTAATATAAAGTGAAGGAAAGATGAGAACTCCCAAAGCGTACCCAGAATGAGTAAAACATGCTCAGCTTTATAGCTAACTTACTGTGGAAGCCAGCATTGATCCTCCAAACCAAACAGCGTATCTTTGCATATGGTGTGTAATGACTTGTACATCAATGGGCTTAGGCTATACAAGGAAAAAAGGAATACATTAAAAGTCACTTTTGCTGGCAAAAATTAGATTTTTTTTAAAAGGGGTGTATATTCCAAGCTTACTTTTCACGAGTTAGTATTTTCTTAAATGCTGGGTATGTAAATTTACAATTATAGCATTGGATTTTCTCTTGTTCAACCCAGACTAAGAAACAGCTCTTGCTTATAAATCGCCAGTTACCTACTTTATCAGACATTAAGAGATACTTGCATTCACACCAATTTTCTCCCAAAAGCTCCAATACAGCGTTCCTCTCCAATTATCCTTGTTCTATTTTCTGCTGAATTTCTTGAAGGACTGTTTATTTATGCAGTTGTAAGAACAGATCCATACTACTTACCCCTTTCAAAAAAAACACTTCAGAAAGTTAATTTTTAGGTTTCATGTCATTATTTTAACAAAGCATCAGTTGCAGACTGATTAAAAGTTTATCTAGGACCAATACAGTCAGTCATGCTTTTCAAAACTACAATATTCATTCCAGTTAGCCCCTTTCCCTCCACACAAACCTTCATTCCTTACTTGTGCTTATCAAAAATGGCAGTGTACGTAACAGTTTCAGAAAGAAGTAATTTGTTAGTTCCAGTACAACCTGCTGCAATCTGAACAATTTGAAACAGTATCTAAAAATCACTTCTAATAGATTAGCAAAATGCAAGCCAGCGGCTACTTGCAATGTCTAGTACTCTGAAGAAGGAAGAATCGCATCGGATTTCCTTATTCATATCCTGCTTCCTTACTACGTGGTAAAGTCTAGTAAGGAGAACTAAGGATAAACTAGGTTACTTGAACCAGAGAACTGTATATAACTGAAATGTCAGACTTGTCGACATGGCATATTATGAAGCTATACTGGGGGTTTTAAGGATTGTTTGAGCTCATCTAGCTAGATTACTACTAAAAAATAAATAAGGAAAATCACTTCAATCTTGCCTTAAAAGGAAAAAACCCAAAATAACTGTTATCTCTGCTGATATCGTTTATGTATGCAGAGTCAACAGAAAAAATGCAAAAGTTAGATCAGAGGTCAAAAGTGGAAAGAACGTAAACTAAGCATCGTGCAGTCTAGTGAAAACATGAAGTCATTTCATAGGATAATTTAGGTGGGAAGGGACCTCAACGTCTCTAGTTCAGCCTCCTGCTCAAAGCAGAGTCAGCTACAAGGTCAGAGGAAGTTATTCAGAGTTTTATCCAGCTGAATCTCAAAAACCTCTAAGGATGGAGACTGCACCACCTCTCTGGGCAAGCCTGTTCCAATGCCTGGTTATCCCCACAATGAAAAAGTTTTCCCTTTTATCCAAGCTGAACCTCTTTTGTTTTGATTTATTTCTGTTGTCTCTCATGCACCCACCACACAGTACTGTCAAGGGTCTGGTCCCACTTTTTCGATGATCTTTCCACATAGACCAAGGGGCTGCAATTAGGACTCCCAAAGCCTTCTCTTCTCTATACAAGCCAGTTCCCTCCGCTTTTCTTCACAGGACAAGTGCTCCAGTCCTCTGACTACCCTGGTGGCTCGACAATGAGCTTGCTCCATCTCTCTTATTATCTTTAAGTTCAAAAGACAGGATGATGATTTGCAACTAATCACTAAGCTCTAAGCACAAAAAAAGCTGGGGAGTGACCAACTGCTTCTACACAACAGGCGTAGGTCCCACCCTTTCCTTAGGTGAGACTGATTCAGTTCAATAATAACAGACAGGCAGCACAAGTGCATACCAGGGGAAGCAGTACTATAGCTTCCTACAAGGAGAGGATTACGTAAATATTTTCCAACACCAGTCTACAATTCTCCACAATATACGAATCTCTAGAGCTTTAAATGAAAACGAAAACATTTCAAACAAGAACATCATTGCAGTATATTATTTTCGCATTTTCCGGGTAACAAGGGAGAGAAAGATGCTTGTTAAATGCATTAGCTGCAAGAACTAACCTTCAGTCTGCCACCACTAAGTTCTTCACTAAGTTTCAGTCTGGCATCAACAGTCCTTTTCAAGTCTCGCTGTAAACGGCGACCAAAGTCCCTGAACATGGTTGAGCCTCCAGAGAGGACAATATTCTGTTTGGAGTAACAAAAATTATTAACTGCTTCTGAAAATGCAGGTCTCCAACCCTACCCAGTTCTTAAATTCTAACTATCTAAATATAGTTTTTAAAGTTACAGTTAACAGGTATGCTTTTACTTTAAGTTTTAAATTACCTAACACTTAAGCATGACAGAATATGAATTCACAAAGAGGCTGTCACATTAAAATTGGCTGCGCTTTAAAATCCATTTGTACCTTAGTACATCTCACTTCTTTCGCTCAGATTTTTGTTTCCCTTATTTTTCTTTTAAATAAGAGTTTGAGTAATGAAACATCACATTCTGAAAAAAGTATAAGTGAACAACATAAAGCCTCCTGCATATTGGACTAATTTCTAGGGAAATGGTTTTTGTTTTTTTTTTTAAATAAAGTTTCAAATACACGTTTCAATATAAAGCACAATCCTTCTAAAACAAGTATTAAAAATACTCATTATAGCTACTGACCTTATACAGAGGACGTCTAACATCAATGGGACAATTCTGAATAACTTCATCTACTACTTCTGAGATTGGTTGCGTAAAGTCAGGATTAGCAAACTACAACCAAGAATAAGAACAGACGAGTCAACATGTAGGACCACATATTGCAAAGGAAAGGGGGTAAAGAGAAAAAGGAAAAAGAAAGAACCACCCTGTTATACTAGAGATGTCATGAAAACCAGTAATGGAAATAGTTATGTTAGCTATTATTGCTGCCATTTTTAAAAGGTCTGAAAGAGTAAGAAACCTAAAGTACCTATTTTGCCAGCTATTCTCTTAGATAGTTTTTGTTAACCGTAACAGGTCAAAGTATCCATGCCCTTCTCAGATGCTGAGCACCAGAGCAAAACAGTGTAACGTGAAAAAACCTGCAACAGGAGAATGTAGAGAGGTATTTGGGGCAGGAGGAGGTGGGAGGGAAGGATTTATTCCCATTGAATTTTTCCCAGCACTGGGAGAGAGACTGAGGGTATAAAGGCAAGAAGACAGAATATTTAGAAACTTGATTTTTCAACAGGCAGGTAAGAAACAAGGTACAATGTGGTGAGACCTGGAAATTCTATTAAAAATTGCAAGAAGAAAATACGGGTGTAGTAATCCATTTACTTTAAAAGTTTCAAATAGAGTGCTTTGTTTAGATATCAAGCTGAATTTGTATAAAGATTACTAGCAATCAAGAATCAAAACTATGTCGACTTACAATAATAGCTGGTATCTATTTACAAATAAGGAGAAATGTAAGTCAGGATAACCACTTCTTTAAAAGTTTGCAAATACTGTTTACATGCTATCATCTAAAATGCACCTAAAACAAAAAGTGTAGACAATTCAAATCAACTTACCTCAGGATGGAAGAAAATCTCTGGCCCCAGGAATCTCTCATAGCCAACATCAATGGTAAATTCTTTCTTTGAGATAGCGTTAATTCCAGTATACTGTTTAATCCACTTTGTACCATCTGTGTCATACTTGTTAAATTCTTTTACTAAGTCAGGGCAAACATAACTAAAGCGTTCCTGAAAATTGAGTATGTACAGTTAGAAGTATCTTCTTAAATATAGCAGAGAAGATGGTATGAACTTTAAAAAAGTGTAGTAATTTAAACCTTTAAGAATAAGAGTTTTAAATTGGCAGATAGAGAATAGGCCTCAAAAACAGCTGAACTGACATTTACTGTATACAGTTAGATAATGGCTCTGCTACTACAAATCATTTCTGTGCGGCACTGAAAGCAGCACATCTTGCTGAGCTAAATTACTTTTCATCTATTTTTTCCCCTAAACTTCTACAATGGTGAGAAATGAGTTCTAAAGTACGTTGAAGAATCGCCATAGAAACCAGTTTAAGTGTAGTTTAAGCTGAATGTCTTTCAGAATAGCTTTGTACTACAAAAAAAGAACGTATCAATATTCAGAAAGAATAAAAGAGTAATTAGAGCTCTATACATTACACATCCCACCAAGAACACTTCCTACTGAATATTACAGTAATAATAATAATAAGGGAGGAGAGGAGAAAGGGAAGACAAGCGAAGAGTGAAATTCTAGGCCAGACTGAGTATAACCCAACAGCATACCTTAAATTTAAGGTATTTCATGTTATTATTTAGAGATTTTTATATTATTTAGAAACAGAGCACCATTACTTGGAAAGACAATGATTTTAAGAGATTATTGTATTTGAAAAATAGGTATCAAGCTCTGATCTAAAATAACCTTAACGTCCGCAGTGTTCACATTACCTTCACAGCTTTAGCTGTTTCCAAGGATTGTTCAGGAGGAATTCCTACTTCTCGCTCCCTCAGCAACTGCTGAATGAAGTATGTTATATCTCGCCCGGCAATTGGAATGTGTTTGATACAGCTGCCAATCACGTATCCTTCAGCCTGTAAAGAAAATTAATTGGGAGAAAGGTATTGACAAGAACTCCTTTCAACAAAGCTTAGGAGGGAGAGAGGAAGAGATGTAGTCTAAACTCCTATTCACTATCTGCGATTGTGAGATTGAAGCCCTTTAAGACTGGTTCAATTCAACTACCAGAAATCCAATTCTTCAGTAGCCTTATTTTACTTGTTAAAGTGTTTCGCTTTGCATTGGTTCATAATTCTTACAAGGTTAGGAGGAACAGAAAGGTCACTAGTACGTAAGGCAGACAAATAGCTATACTCACTATTCCTTGGCCTTTATTTTCTCTTCAAAATGAGGTTACTCTTACCAAAAAGGTCAAGGAACCTTGTATCGCGAAATATTATTTTAGAATAAATGATGTGGCTCTGCAGTCACAGCCACTGATGTAAGATGTTACAATCCACATGAACCAAAATTAATTTTCTGAAAGCAGGGAGAAAATGCATCATTTCAGCACATTAATTGAGACAGCTTAGAACATCAGACTGGCCCATACTCATCCATCAGTCTACCCTTGTAAGTCACACTTGGCCTGGCGGCCAGTATCAGGGCATTAAAATATCTGGTCTAAACATAGAAACCAAAAGCGTTCAAGACCGGCTTTCAACCTCACCAGACCTGCTACATCCAAACAGATGAATCCAGGTATCACACGAATATTAAATGCTTAATATTTCCTATATACTCCTTACATTCATATAAAACGTTCTTTCTAACATAGAAAAATTAAGTCATAAAAAATGTACCACTATTGTTAGCTTCACCACCAGAGATAAGCGTTTGTTAATTCCTCTTTATCTATTTTATTACAAAAGTGGTATGCTAGTGCTGTCAATTTGTTCAACATGTTTAAAAATTCCAGAAATCAAGCACATGTCACTATACAAAGCAGCTTAATGCTTCAAGTGATATAGAATACCTACTCTTATTTCAAGTAAAAAAAAGAAAACCACCGCACACAAATCAGGAAAAGTTCAACTGTTTTAAACAGCCATTTGAACTACTAAGTACAATTAAAAACATTTTACCTATAAAAGGTTTGAAATATCAATTGTTCCCTACGTCTTATTAAAAATATGTCATCTTGGATGAACAGTCTGAACAAAGATTCAGCCACTATATTCCACCGAGGTTAGTAACAAATTGCTACATCACAGCATGTTTCACCACCAATGCTACTATTTGGTATAACAAATCATTTTTAAAAATTGAGGTTACTGTGGCATGATAAAGCTTTGTATAGATTTTAATCTTAAAAATTGCAATCTAACTTCATTTTGAAAAGAAAAATGCGTCTGGTGCCTAGACACGCATTTAACTTCCCAAGGAAAGATGGGCAGAAAGACATATTACCAACCACTTGAAATAAAGAACATTATTAAATGCTCCAATTATAAAATTTCAAATATGTAGCTCTGTAAAAGGAAATACATACCTACAGCAAAAACAATAATTTGACAGTTAAGAAACTGCAGCTGTGAATGCTAATTCTTTAATAAAACATCATATGATCATACTAATTTTTGCTTTTAGCAACTTGATATATTGGAACAGATATTCAACATTAACTAACCTTAGGGTTTTTGGGTTTGGGGTTTGGTTTTTTTTTTCAGTCAGAAAAGAACATTTTTCTTTTTGCTTGTATCGCTGATGCATGATAGCATACTACTAAACATTGGTCAACAGATGAAGAAAAACTGTAAACAATACTACATCTGCCCTCAAATATTTTGTATTTTTCTATTTTATACATGAATTAACTGAATTGAACAAAAAAGTTTCCAAACTTTTTGGACTGACTATTGTAAAGAGCATATTCACTCTTACCAGCAAAACAAACTGGAAATATGATAAAGCGATACAGTTTCATTGATCACTTAACGTGGCCTTGGCAAATCACCTTTTAAGATAAGTCACTGGAAGACAATATGCCCTGACAAACTCAGGGTGCAGAGAAGTTTGAGAGTTTCTGCACTACAAAATAAACAAAAACCCCACACCCACAACCCTGGAAATTATCTGACATTTGTGAAGATTCCTAGCTATACTTCAGTCTGTGTAAGTATAAACTTCAGAGAAGTTACAGGACAAGCTGTTCTCCGGCTAAACTGTTTCTATAGTTTTGAGGTATACTTACAACAGGAATAACATGAGTGACACCATCACCACTGTCTATAACTGTGCCAGTCAGCGTTCGTTCTCCTACTTGTCTTGACGTCCAAGATGCAGCTAAGGCAAGGACAGCCTTGTAAAAGAACACACACACAAAAACCAAATCTTCATAAAAGCACTGCATTGCAGACCCCACCTTCCACTAGCCCTCCCAACAATACCCAGACTGACACCCTCATGGTAATTTACACAGCGTGGAAACTGATTTAGTAATATTATATGTGTGTACACAACAGCTTATGAAAAAGAGACTGCATAAATGTAGTTTTTGACTCCTATATAGCCATGTTCAAACAAACATCTTTTTTGCTACTTCATATTGAGAGGGATTCAATTCTTTGCCTAATACCATTATGATGATGTGGTGTGTTGCATGGGTTTTTTTATTTATGATGCAACAGATATCATACTCTACTGCTTGGAGGCCGCCTTCTATACAGGTAACAGAGGAACAGTACCTAGCTAACAGACCACAGAATCAATGCATATCAAACATCTAGTGGTGAAACTGCTAACCAAAAGTGCATAAAAAGGTATTCCAAACACCACTCATACGGTTTTCATAGTGAAATTAGTTTTAGCTCAGGGAGAAATATTGTAGCTCTAACTTTCAACAGCCCTGCTTACCTGAACAGCAATATATAGCCCTGGAACGTTGAAAGACTCGAACATGATTTCAGCAGTATATTCTCTATTTTCTGGAGTATTTAATGGAGGCTCAGTCTGTGAGACAAAAAAACCCAACAAGTTTTACTTGCATTCAAATCAAACACTTGACTTTTAAAAAAAAAAATCACCAAATCCTAAATTTTGCAAGATGAGTCATTCAACAACAATAGCATGTAAAAATAGTAATGTGCAAAGGGTGCTTTTAAAGGCAAATAGTGCAATTAAGAAAGTCTAGAAACTCCTCCAACAATAACAGAATTTATGCAAACTGCATTGCAAAAACATTGATGATTAGAGTGAAAACAGAAAAACAGAAATGCAATAAAAATGTTATAGTAATTACTGCTTAAGAATTTACATTGATGGCCCCCTTTGTGGGTTGGGTTAGCTCATTACAACTTTTGATTTCACTGAAAGAATCAAGGACTATCAACCTAAAAATGTCAAAGGATGCAGTTTAGCACATTTAAAGAATGACAATTATTTTAAAGATTTCTCAGTGATTCATTAAAGAAAAAAGCTGTTTTTCTTCAGAAGGCAATCACTATAAAACAAGTTGATATGATCAGCTGTAGAAATGTACTCAACCAAGAGAATCTAGCAACAACACACAATGTGCTATAATAGTATGCTATAATTTTCATTAAAATACCAAACATACTTAATATTAAGTTTCTCCTCTGAAAGAGCATTTTGGATAGTGCTACAGAATATTGGGGGGGAGGAATTACTCTTCCATTGCATCAACTATGTAATAGGATGGTAAAGAGAGGAGGGAGCCACTCTTCAAAGGTTATAAGGACAAGAGGTCATGGAGACAAGCTGCAACATGGGAAATTCTAAGTAGGTATTAGGAGGAAAAAGGGTAACATGAGGGTGGTCAAATATTAGGAAAGGGGCCTAGAGTTGCTCTGGCATCTTGATCCTTGGAGATATTCAAAGCTTGGCTGGACACAGCCTTGAGCAACCGGATCTAATCAGACCTGCTTCGAGGAGATGGTTGCATTAGATGTTCTTGTTAACAAGTATGAACCAACACCTCTAATACCAAACCTGCTCTATAAACATCAGACTAAAACAAATTGCGTATTTCAATGGCCTTGAATAAAATACTAAGGAATAGCAGATGCTTCAGAATGACATTGACCTTAATTCAGATCTAATTTGCCCAGATACGACAATCAATCCTTCTGATTTCACAAAAAAAATTTCACTGTCTAGACACACCATCCAGGTGGCAGCATTGTAAAAACAAAATAACTGCAATTATGTCAAGTCAAAACACACAGGTACTTTTTTGCCTCAAAAAATGTAAACATTGTTATTGAATTCAGTGGATAAGTAATAGAAAAAAAGGGATGGAGCAGACGCAATTTGGAGGGAAATGAGAACAGAAAAAAGTTTGCAGTTCAGACACTCTGACATCTTTAGAAAATTGAAGAACCTGGATGGGATAAGCCAGGTCAGGAAAGTTTCAAGTAATTTATAGTTACTTTAGTTTTCAACATGTAATAATTCTTAAATATGAACATACATATAAGTCAGCACAAACATTCTTACTAGTCACATGCAATTTCGTAAGTAGGACATAATTTTACCTACCAAAAGAAAATAATGGTCCTCGGGTTCTGCCCTTAAATACTTAAAGATTACTTGCTCCATAAACCTCTCCATCAGGTCCCAGTCTTCAACTATACCATGGCGGATGGGCCACTGTTGCAGAAGAATATCAAAATATAATTGGAAACAAAAGAAGGGGAGTGGGGGGGAGAGAACAGGAGATCAGTGTTTTCAACTGCAGTAAAAGCACCTGATCTACATATGCAAGAAACCTTGCATTAGGTTTTCCCTATCCCGATTGGACACATATTTGAAATTCAGATTCCAACCTTGAATAGCAGAGACAATACATTGCATTTCTCAGTACAGCAGAATGGTGGCACTAGGATAAACCAAAGGTTCTCCCTAGCCCAGCATCCTGACTCTGACATTGCTGATTCAAGATGCCAAGGAACATGAAAGAATGTGATATTTCCACTTAACGCTCTCCCAGTCTCCCTTCACTTCAGAAGAAATATATATTCACATACTTTTTTGCAAATTCCCACAGGCTCCTGAAGCTCAACAAAACTAATACCAAACCTTACTTTCCGTTAAAACAGAGTTAATAAGAAAGTAAGATTAAAATTAACCAAAAAGCATTCATAACAAGCTGTTTACTGTATAGCTGATGCTTTCTAAAGAGTATTGGAAAATTATTTTAAACATTTCTCTACCTTGGTTGCATAAGTTGGTTTTTCTATTGCTTCATCCCCGATAAAGAAGTCTAAATCATCAACACCTTTCAAAACCCTCCTTTGTGCTTGATCGACCACTTTTGCGGATTCTTTGATAGCAATACCTTTAACAGAGAACACAATATTGTAGATCATATATCCTGCACTAAAAAAATAAAACCTCAATATTCAAGAATAGGAACACACTGTAATTATATTCATCCTTTGTTTCAGGTATAAGTACAGAAAAGCTAAATAAAACACAGATAACTGGAATTCTAATCACAGGTAAACATAATTAGGATTTATAAAGTAACACAATACAGATCTAAATACAGATTTAATTGTTAGACACAACATGCAATCAGAGAGATAAAATATAAAAAGAATCACTAAGGGTATCCCTACAGATCTCGTTTTATTCAGCAAGTGTGCTGATTTTCTGCACACTCCTCTAATAATAATAATAATGATATATAAAAAGGAATGCAGTTGTAGAAGTTGAATAAAGAGCAAGAAAGAAAACATGTTGCCATTATATAAATGGATGTTTTACTTCACTCGCACCAATTTGATTTCGGGACATATTATGAAAATGAGATATGATTTTGAGACATATTATGAAAAGGGAATGAATAGCAACTAAATAAGCAAAAAACATGTACAAAAGAAACCAGGAAGGGAGAAGTAGAAGAAAATGTAAGGCATACAGAAAAAGAAAATTGGACAGAAATAAAAGGAGTATTTTTAAAAGGACAGAAATCTGTATGGCCATATGATGCACCTTTAGGTGCTTCAAAACAGATTTTCACAAAGTCTATGTTTAATTTCTTCCTTTAAATCCTACTCCTATCTTATCATTAAGAATAGGATGGAGAATTTCATTTAAGACAGACTATAAATCTCTCCTTCACTTCAAGGAATAACTGGCAAAAGCTAAGAGCTTGTATCTTGGCAGTTTATTCCTTCCAGGATAATTACTCATCATAAATAAAGACAAAAGTTTTTACCAGAAAAATACTGGCTAAGGCTAAACACAGGATCCTGGAAAGATGGATCAGTGATTAGATATCACAGAAACACAGATGTTCCCTTCCCTCATCTTTTACATCAGCCCCCTGGCTACGAGGGTTGCAGCGCCAGCAATACCTGCTGTATTTTTTCAAGTCTTACTAATTGCCTTTAAACACAATCCTTTACACAAATGAGGAAATCCATATCTATAAGAAGCATTAGTATCAGCCTCAAATATTCAAAGGTCGTGATCCAACAGCTCTTTCAAAGGCAGAATTATTTTGCTAATTCTCACCTTCAGTAAGAAGTTCTGTTTGCTCACAACTAAGATTAAAAAAAAAAGTTATGAAAACAGCTGCTGCAGGCTCAAGCCCACCAGACACAGGGCAGCAGAGCTACAGGATTTGGAAATCAATAGCACGCTAGGGTAAAGCGCCGTTAGGTCACTGATGCTCCCCATCCTTCCCTTCCCACAAAGAGCAAGAAAAGCAGAGCTGCGCAGCCAAAGTTAAACGTTGTGAAAGACTGAAGAGGATAAAACAGAAGACGTTATTTTGAGCTCTTCAGGAAGAAAACTGAATCATACTGTAACTTCTGTAGCAGCTTACAGGAGAGCAGAGAGGAAGCCGAAAAGCTGGGGCGGGGGTGGGGAAGGAGATGTCGCAAGGCCAGCGTTTGCTGCAAGTGAAAAGAAGAATCTTGCTAAATATTTTTCAGGTCGTCGTTACAGAGCTCACACGTTTTGGGAAATTTTTCTGCCCAGATGTGTGTTATCTTCACGAAGTTTCAAGTAAAATACCATCGTTTGCCACAGAATTATAAAAACTTTCTCAAGTCAAAGTGGTTTCACCCTGTTACAAGCCTAAAACAAGATGGGAGCTCTCAATATTTTGCTGACGTTGAGGCTAGCCTGTTCAGTCCTCGTTTCGAAAGTCAGAAATGAGAAGGAAACAACCTGAATCGAGAATCATATCCTGAAAATAAACAGGAAAATAAATCTTGCTGAAACCATAGCTAGGCTACCACGGCGTCTGAAGATGGGCAGCACTCCAGCGGTATCTCAGAGCATTTGCCTTTGGTTTGCTTGGCACAAGAATTAAGAGCTTTTAGAAGAAAAGAGGACATACTTGCATCAAATCAATTTTTGTGCTTAACCACTACTCAAGCCTTTTTTTTTTTTCTTTTAAAGGTAAAGAAAAGGCCATCTAACATGTAAACTATCATAGATAAACTGAAATAGATGACAAATCAAGAGAACTACTGGGTAATAGAAGGAAGTTGACTCCTATTTTAACATACAGCAGGAAAAAAGGATTAAGTGAATAAAAATCAAGCAAAATTAATGATCTGTTAAGATCTAAAAAGCAGCCAGGAAAGAAATCAGTGAACCCAAGTCTCTTCAAAAAATTGGCCCAATGTATTCTCATTTACTTCACTTTTCAAGCGAGCATTTGTCATCTCTACAGAAGCATATTCAGAATTAAACCAAGAACACAACATGAGAGGAGTGGGAGATAAAAATTTGTTAAGAGCAGGAGCGAATAAGATAAGCAGCAAGTGAACAAGGCAGAAGGAATGCTGCTCGAACCTGTTTAACAGCAAACATTTTTTAGAGAATCAAATTGATAACATGCAACCACCATTGCTGGAAGTCAAAGGAGAAACCAAACCGTTTTCCCTCTGTGGCTAATATTAAGGAAATTGAAGACACCAAAGCGCTTTGAAAAGATCCACAGGTTTTTTTGTAACATTTTACGTTGAAACTAGGTACTGCTATACTTGATTTTTGTTTCTCTAATGTGGATTACACCTGTGCTATTTTATTTCATTTGAGGCAGAGGATTAATGCAAACTTGCGCAGTTAGTGTAATTATCTAACTTGGATTACAGTACAAATGAGAAAAATGCCTTTTTCATTAAGAGAATTGCAGTCAAGGACCATTTCAGCTGTAGGAGCATCTAGACTAGAGAATTTTTTTTTTAAAATGCACCACACTATCAAAAAGCTGTCAAAAATCTCATTCCCCCCTTTATCTTCTACTTTAATAGCATCCCTGTTGTATAAATTTCTCTGCTTAATGATCTGACAGGCCATTTCATTCCCAGAATTTGTTTTAAGTGTCATGATCTCTCTTCTCCTTTTTTGGAACAAGAAAGTGATTTTAAAATTAAATAAACCAAATCTGAAGATGCAGAGAAAGTATGTAAAATCTATATATCTGAAATTAAATAAAATAACATTTGCCCATTTTTAATTTAAAGACTGCTATGAAGTTTAAAGAGCAATGTAACGTTTTTTCCAATGGTTCATTAACTTTTTTTTTAAAATCTAACATTAAAACTAGTTTTTTGGGGAAAAACAAAACTGTAGAGTATTCTTATATGTCACTGAGGTAAACCAAATGAAATTCAATTGGAAAACCAAGTGAATGAAGAACTACATATAGAAGAAATTGAAATTATTCTCTCACTTGTATGAAAACCAGAGAATGCATTAAGTGAATTAACCTTAGCTTTCCATGAAAATTGCTTTTTGAATCATGTTTTCTATAAAGATTAACGGAGCCTGAACTATCAAGTTCTATTTTACAGCGACTATGCTTAACTATTATTAGTTCTAGCTCTTTTCCTGTTGCATTTACAAGGAAAACTGGGTGTATTAATTATTCCTTTTCACCAGGATGCAATACATGATTACTTTGGCACAGATGCACAATGACAAAATGCCAAGTGGTGTAGGAGGTCAAAAGGTGAAGCATTTCTAAAGGAAGCTGATTTGAGTTCCACTCTCTAGAGTAGAGCTGTATCACTTCAACAGTTCAGAAGACAGGGAGTGAATAAGCAATTTTACATCTAAAAAAAAAATTAAATGTTTTCTTGTTCCATTTACAAAACAGAGTAAATTAAGTAACATAGCTGTAATACTGAAAAATACCTGGGAAGTATAACATTTTAAACCCTAAAGACATTAAAACATCCAATTTCAATTTTTTTTTCTAGTTACAATCAACTAAACTTTAACCTGAGAAGTCCCTAATAAGGGAAAAACCTTCTAAAAAGTAAATATATAGCCACAGTACTGTATTTCAATATGGTTTCAATTTCCAAGATATTAACTTCAAATATTAGTATACCATTTTAATAAACGTATCTTTCCAAACTGAGCATCCATAGCAAAACAGAACAGAGCCATGCTACCACCCTGTGTCATCACTCAGAGCTCTTTTCAAGTCACTCATTTTTAACTGTTTTTTTTACATAGCATGTTATAGAAACTCTCCAAGTGTAACTTCAGCATTCATACACAGGTAACAAATACTTACATGAAGGAATAATGAACTGGGGTTCAGTATTACCGGCATATCCGAGCTTTGTATACCTATTGAGGAAAAAAAGGTTGGGTTATAATATTTGATACTGCAAACACCAAAGATATCTCCCTTTTTTAATGAACATACCTCTTTTCCCATATCAAAAAGACCCACTGAATTTCCTTTAAAAAACGAAACAAAAACCCCCTAAACAGAGAACTTCTCTTTTTTTAAAAGGTAAAACAATGCTCCCTACCACAAATCAAGCATCATTCCTAACTTCTACTCTAATAAAATTTTACTACAGAACACAAAGTATGTAATTCAATTTATCAATGCTTAGGAGTATAATTTACAGTCAGAGTAGTTCTTCCCTGCTCAGCAGTTAGCATTTCTATAGAAATATTTTCATATAATCAGTGTAAGTGGTAGAAGTGTTTTTCTAACTGCTAACTATAAGGGAAGAAGTTCCCTTGCCCATGGACCGCCAGCTGGGCATGCAGCAGGGCTCGCCATCATTACTTCACAAGCGTCTCCCAAGACGTACTATCATAGGTGGCAAGCACTGACAGCTGATAACGACAGTGGTAGCAAAAGAAATTCCATTTAACAAATGGAAAACAGTCTTGAAAATGTGTTTAATAAGGCTAAGGAAAGCAAGAGGAAAAGAACTACACACCTTCACCCACCCAACTTCCAGAATGTGCTATGGATATATACATCATTTTCATTGTCATGACGTAAGAAAACTGAAGAAGTTTTTCATGAATACATTGGTAATAACTACAAAACTCACAGTACCAAAACTATCCAGCTGCTAGAAATGTTGTTACAAAAGAGTTAACAGCACAGGCAAATTCTAAAACATGCAGACCAAAATGCACACTACATTCAAGAGTTACAGCCTACACACAAGTTTTTAACAGACACAGACATGACAAAGTTCTCATTTTCTTTATACAGTCAGACAGCTGTACTAACTAAATTAGCACCATCAGCAAAAGCATGAAACACTGTAGTAGCACCTCTACAATTTTCAGCACTCAGATATAAACCTGGAAGATCTTAGGCGGTATAAGGCAGTACTAACTTTAACAATCCATAAATTTATGTCAATAACACAGCAAAATGCCTGGTAACACAGTAAGAGGTTGTTTTTTTTACAGGCTAGCAGAGGAGTGCTGCTGCAGTAGGTTTTGCTGTGATGCTACTGATGCAGCGGTTCACAATTTGCTCACGTGTCCGCTAACGCCTACACAATTTCTATCACTGACATTGATTGTGCATGTTAGCGCTGGGCCAGGAGAAATGGTATCCTCAAAAGGAAGGTTATCTTTCTCTCTAAATAACAAAATGGTTAGCACGGAACCTCATCTAACACCAAAAATGTTTTGCAAGAGTAGTAATTTTAAAGCTGTAAAACCCATCTTGCCTCTAACACACTGTAACAGTTGGGAGTAACCATGCAAAAAAAACTTGACTTTGTATTGATCTACAGTAATATTTACTGAAAAATAAAACTTCACTGGCAAAATAAGATACACAACGGAAAAGAAAAAAAGAAACTAAACACCTGAAAGGAATTTAGACCTCATTAAGAGATCAGCATTATGCACTGTACGTGCCTGAACTCAGATTTTACAGACTCAAGTTATAAGCAAGCACATTTTTTAAAATTTCTTCTTAAATATCTAGTTCCTAAGAGAAATCTCAAGAATTCCACAATCTGATGCTTCTATAACCTGTCATGCAGAATAAAACTGTTCACTGTATCTATAATGTTTTAAGAGGCTTTTAGTTCCACAAGAAAATTAATAAGAAAACCAGCAAATATTGACTCACTCCCTCTACCTTCCCCTGCAAATCAGGAACTGTAGCATGTATATTTTAAACCTAAATCTACAGCGGAACTTTGGAGCCTGAAGACCACATAAACCTACAACTAGATCAGAAATGCTTTAACTAGCAAAAAAGTTAAAACCGTTTGATTATTAAACTCAGTATTTCAAAGAAAACAAAAGCTAAACTGTTGCAGGTAACAGGCTGCTTAGCTGCTTGTGGTGTGGGAGACTGCCCAGCACACGCACACACAGCCAGCAGACTGAAATAAAAACAGTCAAATGAAAGATGCATTTTACATAAAAAGACTGTATTCAGACATAAAATCAGCATATCTAAAAATACTATGGCCTACTCAGCAAGAAGTCTCCTGACTCGTGGGAAAAAAAAAAAAGAAAGTCCCATTTTTAGGCTTCCAAAAAAGGAAAAAGGAAAAAAAAAAAGAAAAAACCCCGCATGGCTTCTGGTCTCTGAATATTAAAGCATTATAGCCGCAAGTCTCCAACGTAGTCTCCAACGCAAGGCTTCACATCGCTAGCGTACCAAGACTTCCTTGCCACACTCTCCCTTCCGCATCAGGAGGGCCACCACCACTTGCCCCTCGGTCAGGGAAGGGACCCGCTGTTACCTCCTGCGCCTCAGTCCTGCCCCTCCAGCTCCACGCCTGCAGGCACAGACAGCCGTTTGCAATATTCATACGGTGACTGGTACCATGGGGCTCCGGAGAGGAGCTAGGGCTGCCAGGGACTATGGTAATACACATAACAAACAGTAAGCTTGATTTTCATAACTAAACTTATATATAGATACTCTTGAGTTAAAATGGAGTTTAAAAATGTGATAGGCGAGACAAAAAAGGTAAGTAAGTTGATAAAAATCTTTGGTTCTCCAAATGCACAATCTAATAACAGTGGGTTTTTTTTTTAAATTAACTTTTGCAAAGATGAGGCTTTATTCAGTGATCAGATCTATTCTACCACTGTCACTTGAAGTAAACATTTAAGTCACATGAAAAAAAGGATACCACAGGCAAGCTAGATTTCACAAGTATACAGTTTCCACAAGCAGTTCATACAGGGCAAAGTGTGTCTGACTAATGTATGATTCACAGGGGAATGAGGCACACCCTGTCTTCTTCAGAGCAGCAATCACTGCCACTACAGAAAAAAATCCTGATATTAAAGATATCATAAGGCAGCACCAATACTGGATCACAGTTTTTTAGTAAATCACTGCTTGTCTTGCTTGCTACATAGCACTGAAGAGTGGCAGGAGGGACTTCCATGGAGACAGGCAGGCACATGTCATTTAATGAGACGTGAACTCAGCTTTCCCACACTGAATTTGGGGCACTCAGCAGTGAGAGAGCAAGGCACTGTACAGACGAGTATAAAAGTATAAGCAGTTTTCTATCAAAACCTGTAACACAGAACTGATTTACAAAATGCAAAGGTGAAAACCTGAATCCAACCTTGATCATTCAGACATTTTCCTTTATTTCTCCCCGTTGAGCTACCTGAAGTGTTTCTGAAGGCCTATTAGTTCATTTACGTAGAAAAGGAGAAAAAAACCATACAAAAACACAAACATGGCAAAAAAAAGTTGTTGGATAATCACGTCCTTCAGATTTATTTTAGAAGATAAGCTACAAAGTATCCAAAAGCAGTCCACAAAGTCTCCCTGCAGATGTGCGTGTAGGTATATAGAGAACCATATACATACACACCCCCCCACGCTATCTATCAATATACATATATATGGTGCTGATATTCCCCAGTGACTTCCCTGCAACGCCTTCTGCAAAAGGCAATGGGGTCTCACACACCATCCTCCGGCCTATGCAGATGTAATGATGTGACAAACAAAATATGATTTTTTTGTAGGGGACACCACAAATGGGGTGGGGGTAGCAACTAATGAAGGTTCCTTCTAAATTAACCCTACTAACCCACATCTCAACTATCAGTGGAGAAACATCTCTAGAGTCACATCCACCTCAAACTCACACCCTGAAATTGCAAAGTAGCTCTGTACTGATCCGCCTGAGAGATCTCTGGAAGGACAGCCAAAAGGCTCTCCACAATGTTCTCAACTGCACTAATGGGATTTCTTATACGTGCTCTCTCACCTAGACTAGATGTTTCTAAGGCTATGACATGAAAGCAATGTCACTTGAAGGTTACTTACATATTAGTCATGCAGGCAATTTTAAAGCCAAAAGGAAACAGCGCTTAGGGTAAGAACTTCTAATGAGAATGTCATTAACAGAATCTCCATCTGCAAACTTCAAACCATGACCATGCACCTTTGCTCCACTTCTTTCCTGTCCACAACAAACGTCATTCTGTATATATTCTCCCAAGTTATACACCCTAGTTCTAGCACAGTAATTTTAACAAAATTTTAATTTCTTAATAAATAGTGATTTTAACAAAAGGATGAGGAATAGGGGGACAACTGCTTCGTGGGCAATGCATTTGTTTAGCTGCTCTGGGAAGTACAACAGAAATGGATGCCCATGACGTGGAAATTTTAAGTGCACCCTGGCATTTCTGTCGTCCTGCTTAGACAATTCCCACTTACAAAATCTCCGAATCCTGTGCTGAGCAGCCGAATGCACCAACGTGGATTTCACTCCACAGCTTTCTGAAGCTCCTTCATGGGTCTAACCCAAAGAATTGAACTGAGAAAAAGGCTGCATGGGCCATTTCTTTGCATCAACCAAGAGCAAAGAGAAACTCCAAAAACAGACAGAGGCCTCAATTATGTAAAACAAAGAACAGTGAAAAATCTTATGAAGTCTGTTGCCTTTGCACATGAATTGCCTTCACTAGCATGGTCTGCAAACCATCTCGCCATTTAAATCCAATCTCATAACCTCACTTCTCTCAAGACACCACAGCAGTAAATTCTCCATATATGCTACTTGAACACCAGCAAGGACTGTTACAATATTTGTACGTGAATCTGCTTGCTAAAATAAACTTCGTTTATGCAGATATCCTCCACCATAGCTTGACACTTCGCTGCGTAACAAATCTTACAGAGAAAGTTAAAATGATTGCACAAAAGAGTACTTCAATATTTCAATATATGAAATTTCAAGCATTACTTATATCTTTAAATTACTATTAAATAAATAACGTTATTATGAATGGTCAAGATAAAAGATACAAAACCAAGAAAGGTAATTTCACAATTTCATAGTTTCACAGCAGGCCAGTGTGTGAAGGCATGCAAGATAGTGCAGATGCAACTTAAGTTCGCTGAAGCATGTAAATTCTTTGTTGCAGGTGTGCATACAGCAGCAAAATTCATTGCTGGCTAAGTTACCTTAACTCTAGGAAAACTGTTAAGTGAGCAGGCTGTAGAAGGCACTACAGAAAAGCTCAGAAAGCGGGGAGATTCTAAGGCGGACACACACACGTGGTAATATATTCAAAAGGGCATGAAATAAATCAAATGGCAAAAGCTCCAAGTTTTTAAGAGAATCAAAACGGATTCTGCTCTTCAGTCCCCAGCTCCTTACAGATGGTCTGTCCAAAGACTTCATCAAAAAGGGCTTAATATCCTTTCCTGTTCTAACTGGATAAATTCTATGTAGACAGAATTTATAACATATATACAGTGGTTTTACTGTCTGATGTCTTTAGATAACAAAACTGCTTTAAAAGGAAGTGGAAAACTTCTGAAACATGGATAAGCCCTTAGTTTTCACACATAGAGCCTCACGTTACTGAAAAGCCTGAACAAGCCTTTGTTTTTATTTGTTGCTTTTCTTCTATCATCCTTCTTGTACACCAGATGAGACTGAAAAGCCTAGGGAGTATTTACTTTTCAAATGCCCGTGAAGTGAAATAATGAGAAAATGATGGCGAAAGAGGAAAGGCATCCTGCC